CTTTTTGTGGCCACGATTGCTGTTTCCTACCATGAAATCTTGGGAATCCTTTGGTACAATTTAGAAACTGCACTAAAATTAAGAGTCAAATGCCCTGGGTTCAAGTGTCGACCTTGCTAATGACCTAGCCACATAATTCATTGAGTTAATAAAAACTATTATTTTGAAATTAATTCATCTTCTCACTACAGTCTCTACATATCAACCTCCATTCCCACTTCCTGCTTTCCTCCTGCTACAAAAGAAATGTCTCTCCTTAGTTCAGGCCATTACCTCCACGTTTGCTTTGGTTCCCACATTTGCTTTGGTTCCCACTTCCTTGTGGCTTCTCAAGAGCCTTTGTTTAGTTACTGTGTTCCTCCCCTCCATATTCTGTACCACATCATTTTAAATATTAATGTAAAATTCCTGGTATTAGTTCTGTTGCTGCTGTAACAAATTAACACATGCTTAGTGGCTTACACAATACAGACTGATTCTCTCACAGTTCTGGAGGTCAGAAGTCCTAAAATCAAGGCAGGGCAGGGCTACGTTCCTTCTGGATGCTCTAGAAGAGAGCTTTTTCTAGCTTCTAGAGGCGGCCTGCATTCCTTGACTCCATCCTCCATCTTCAAAGTCAACAGTGTAGCATCTTCCAGTCTCTCTGACTCTGATCCTCCTGCCTCCCTCTTTAACCCTTTTGGTTAAATTGGGCCCACCTAGATAATCCAAGATAACCTCCTTAATTTAATCACATCTGCAGAGGCCCTTTTGCCGTGTGAGGTTAACATATTCACAGGTTCCAGAGATTAGGACATGTTCATCTTTGGGGGCCATGATTCTGACTACCATAATGCTCAAATTTACATCTCCAACCAGACCTCTAGTTAGAGATTTATATACTCTGCTGTCAGTTTGATGTATAAAAAATGAATTCTTGATCTTCCTTCCAAATCCTGCTCCTTCTAGGGTTTTCTCTAGGAGTAAATGACACCTCTTTCCATCTCCAAAAGCCAGAAACCTGGAAGTGATTCACGACACTCTCCTCACATGTGCTGGATCCATGAGACTCAGACCAAGGCCTGCCAGTTCCACTCTCACATCATACCGTGACTTCATCTACGTCCTGTTTGTATCATGTGGAGGCCAGGAATGCCACCACCAGGGCCAGAGGCTGATATGTCATAGCTCTGCCACTCCCTCCGCTCTCGGGAAAGTTACTTAACTTTTCTCTGCTTTATTTCTTCATCTGCAGATGGGTCGTAGGGTTATTGGGAGGAATGAATTAATGCCTGTGGCGTGTGTAAAGCAGTCCCCGCATACCAAGGGGTTGATGAATGTAAGCTCTCAGTCCCGCCATCTGTGCTGCACTCACTCTTCGTCCCTGCTGGGCCGTGGGAGCAACCTCTTAAGTGATCTCTGTGATTCCAGTCCGGCAGCTCCCTTGATATTCATTCTGTACACACCACCCACAGTGATAAC